GTCTATGGTCATGTCGCGTACCTGAGCGGCCTGTTATTTGTGAAATATAATCGCTTATTATTTAAAACCTCTTATAGCCCCGACGTTTTTCTATTATAACTTTCGTCTTGAAATTTTCTAAAGAATTTATGATTGAAAGGATATCCGGTGGTTATAGTACACCCTGTATATGTATATCAGAATTGTGTATTTATAATCATAATTATATTATATAATGTATAATTAAATATATTTCTAACTAAATATGTGAAATTATGTTTTCTTTATTATTTACAATATATTAGGTGCATCTTTTATACTATATACATAATATGTATGGCCAAATGTCCCGTAATACTATGGCAATCTCTTCTCTACAAGGCAGGTAAGATGGCTAATGCATACGTTGTAATATTTTGATGAAATAAAATTTATGTTAAGGGGTCTGGCCACCCTGACCGTTCGAAAAATTGGCTTATTTTTAAAAAATCTGCAAACTCAAAAGTATTAAACGAAACTTATTTATTCTTGGCCACATTGTAGTTTAGGGTTTTAAGAATGTTGTAAATTATAAATTTTAGCCAAAAATGTTTCAAAATGGCGGCGCTGCAACTGTTGCCGTGGAGGTCCTCCGCCAACACGCGCGTAGTTGGCTACAGGTATATCTCAGTTATGGCGAGTCTGAAAACAAAAACAAAAAATTTACTTATTCGTGAATAGTATGGCTACATGTAGCGTACGGATTTTTTTCTATTAATAGGGAAATAGCGATGAGTCAAAGAAAAAAAACCGTGTTTTTCACAGAAATTTGACGAGAAAAAAATTAATAAAAAAATAATTAATTAACTTATCGCAAAAATGGTACGCTACGTTGTAGATAATGTATCTAAGAGTATTGTGTCCAAATTTCATGTCAATCGGATCAGTAGTTTCCGAGATCTACTTGCAGCCATGTCGAAAAATGTAGTTTCGAGATAAACGCATAAGAAAGTAAGTGTTCGGTTATTCGGGTGACGGTGCGATTTTTGTTTCGCTTACCTTCAATCAGCGATTCCTGGCCCATATAATGTTCCCTCAGCAGCTGTATGAGCATCTTGGGCCTGTCTTTGAGACGATCTACGAGCTTGGCGAGCCTCTTTTGTGCTTTTCTGAGCTCGGATTTCCGCGGTATCGCAACGCTGCTTGTCGATTTCCGTGCATAATCCGTAGCAGCGATCCCCGATTTTTAGTTGCAGCACATTCATTATCAACAGAATGCTTTTATAGCCATCGTTGAAAGTGCTGGCAGCAACATAACTGGCAATTTTGACGATCTCCGCACCATTTGAATTTGTTTTTGGAGCCATTGACCAAATAACGGAGTTGGGGCTCTCGTTACTATTCTGCGTAAAGCCTCCTTCACACCGCTTTAACAATTCATCTGAACTGAGATCCTCATAAATTGGTCTAATGGCATCTTGAACGATTAGAGGTAGAGGAATCTTGTGCTGATATTCATCCAAAGTGCCGATCGCTTTTGATTTTTGCCAAGAGCACCACGAGTCTTCTCCGGGAGGACAATAATCATGCTGTGGCTCTTCGTTGGTCGATATCTTGTGCTTGAATGTTGCCCAAATGGCTTTCTTCATTTCGTCTTTGGAATGAGAAGACCTTCGAATAGCAAGACCATAATACACTGTCAGCTCGTTGATTAGCTTATCTGTTAGATTTCCTCTTCCACCAAGACCTTTGTTCGCTTTCTTCACGTTACGAAGTCGTGTGCCCATTCTTTTCTGCACATGGCCAATACATTCTTTTTTGATCACTTTTTCTTCGTATGGATTTGCATCAACAATTGCTTTATATGTTTTTGAATCTCCATCTCCGATGTAATTTGTGTAACAGACATTATACTTTTGTATCGACCTTGAAAACATTTCTATTATGCTATCGACTTCCATTTTTCCAGATGATCCTTCATGATTGTTGGAACATTCTTCTTCGTGATTTTCTTTCCATAACTCGTATTCAACTGTACCCAAAGTTTTACTCCAATACTCACAAGCTTTGCAGTAAGAAGATTTAATTATTAAATCAATCACTTTGCCTGAGTAATGCCCAATAATCGTCGATACGCCGTAATGCGAAGAAAAGCCTCGTTTGCGCCAAGTTCCGTCACCAGAAACAGTCAAACCTGGGCCTTTTCCCATTTCTGTTGTTAATTTTTGTTCCTCCTTTACAGCATTTTCCATGGACACGTTGCATACACTTTCTGCAGCAGTGCAAATATTCTCAATGACAGTATCATAAAACGAATGGTATATCATTTTCGGTAAATCCATGATCCCACAAAATTTTTCTATTCCTCTCAGACCAATTCCCAACAATCGGAATGCGAATACAATTCGTTTGTTTATATCATATGCTTTGTTGTTGATGAGAGGACTAGAGTCGACACTGGTTGGTTCGCAGGAGTTACACGAAATCACTAATTTGAAACCGAGTCCACGAATGCTCGATTCCATAAACTCCACATCACCGTTGCATTTCTTACACTTTACGACGTTACTAATTGCCGAAAAAACGGTGGCAAAGTTCAAAATCCGATACCCAAAATTCGCACAAACTGTTACATCGATGTCTTGGCCAGTCTTCAATTTCTTTGCTGACTGGCTAGTACTGGCCTTTTCCTGCTCCATTTCGAATCGATTGAGCGGACGATTTCTTCGTTTTATACTAGTTGATCGACTCCTTCTAAACTTCGTCCCCTTTTTATCCAGATAAGCTTGGGCCTCTGGTTCTTTCTGTTCCATTTTCGATGCGAAATTATAATTTGTACGTAACGATACGTGCTTCTATGTTGCCTGCAGAATACTGACTGACGCTCTCAAAACCCAAAATAACGGCTTTGCCTTGAGGACAAACGAACAAAGAACACATATAAAAGGACACAATAAGACAGCTGTGTTGCATGTGCCGAGCGACCCTTGCGGGTCGAAGCCAGTCCCGCCACCGGTCGAACCGCGCGACCGACCGCTCGCAGCGGCTCGACCTTTGACTATATAATCATGGACTGCTAGTTACCCCCACTTTTCCTATCCTTACAATGCTTTGCTGTCTAATGGACATGAAACGCGCCCCCAGGTCCTAAACGGCGGAAAATGGAAACATCAAGTGAGATTCCGGTGGTAAATGGTGAGAAAAGAAGGTGTCATATCACTATTCTACGATTTTTAGCAAATTATCAATCTGCTAAAAGTCGTAAAATAGTGGTGTGTGTGTTTAGGCAGTCTTGCTATTATACATTCTTACATTATAAGAAAAGAACGAATTAAATTTAAAAAGAATGAAATAAATACAGAATGTTAAATGTGAAATATTTTATTATTTATTCAAACTAAAATATATGTATGTTTATGTAATATACAGGGTATCAGACTCGTTTGTAGCCAATCTAAAAATGACGGTAGATTGGGTTAAACTGAGAAGAAGAGTCATGTACCGTTGTGCAAAATTAGCAATAGTTATTGCGTAATTGATAAAAACGTCTAGTCGAATGAACGCACAAGGAGCGAAAGGCCGGACCCGGCAGGCATTTTGAGTGACGAGCGACGTGACTCAACCTCTCGCTACTGTGTCCTAGGAGATATATAAACAAATAAAGCATTTTGCATCCTGCCGGGTCCGGCCTTTCGCTCCTTGTGCGTTCATTCGACTAGACGTTTTTATCAATTACGCGATAACTATTAGCTAATTTTGTACAACGATACATGACTCTTCTTCTCAGTTTAACCCAATCTACCGCAATTTTTAAGTTGGCTACAAACGAGTCTGACACCCTGTAAATTACATATACACACGGAGAAAATGGTTATTGTTGTTACAACAACATTCTCTATGATTAGGGAAAAAATATATGCAAGTTCAAATTACATTGATATTACATTGAATGTAGCTGTTAGGGTATGCTCATCTATACGATTCTCTCAAGTCTTAGTCTTTTGATAAATAACATTCGGTTAGAATACCCTC